AACGAAGCTGGCTGCAACAGATAAAAGCTTCAGTGCACCTGGAGGCAGAAAAAGCAACCTTGGAAATTTTCCATTCCCTCAATACCTGGCACAGTGTAATTAGTAATCTAATCATCAGCTGATTATGTATCAGTGGTTTTTATCCAATGTAAGGAACTCATATTTTTGCTAATATTTTGGCACATTTTGTCAGAACTAATTAATAATTTGGATAGGTTTCATCAAGTACAAATCACTATGTACATGTATGTATGATAAATGACCACTGCCTATGATAGCCATATATCCTGGCTTTAAGGACACACAGCCCAAAACTTTGTTGCTTCGGTTAATTAAAACACTAATCATAAGAAAAGCTCCTGATATTTTAAGTAACATCTCCATTATTCTCAAACTACATGTAGTTTTCAAATTTTCAAATAGTATTTTTTTTAAATGTATTAAATTAAACCAATTACTGTAGGATACCGACAAACACATACTTAATTGAAAAATTTAATTATTTACTCAGAAAACATCACACCTCTTCAATGGCCCATTGTCTATGTAAATAGTAACAGACAATGGTTACTGCCTACACTGACAATAACAGACAATAACCATTGTGTGTACTATTTATATAAGAAGTTAGTTATAAATAACATGAAATTATAATATGGGGCCTATTCTGGGTTCATTGTGAGCATCTGTCTTGGTATAATTGTCAATAGATATATATTTTGTGGTATAGTAAAGGGACAATGTTTGCAGAGTGTTTCTTGGTAGAGCAACTATGAACAAGAAATTTAAATTTAATTATATTTTAAAACCAACAGAGACAGTCAACAGCAAACTAAGGGCTTCTAGTTGCCAAGAGCAACAGTGATTTATCAGGAAAACAGCAAAATCAAAGGAAGCAAGCTAGATTTTTTTTGACAGTTTCTCTCCAATCCCAATAGGACTTCTTTTCAATATAAATGTAGATGCTTATTTCTTTTGAAATAATATATTTTCAGAGACTACACAGTAGTATAATAGGTTCCATCATATTATCATGTAATTATCACACCATGTGTTTCATTTAACAAGACTATATACATCCATCACTTGATCCTAGTAACAATATCTACCATAGACATATCTTTCTATGTAATATTAAAAAAAAACAATTCCAAAATTAATTAACTATCTAACAGCCTTAAAATTCACCTTTCTTGCAGAAAAAAGTATCTAAAAGAAACAATGACATGGAAAATGTTGACAGGTTCCTTTCATCCCATATCTAATCTCTGACTATATTCAGCCAACCTATAGAAGTTAGTCATATGTATCAACTTATTTTACTTGTATTTTGCTTTTGTTACTATAATGTGTTTGTAACTATGAGAATGAACAAAAAATATATTTAAAAATTAAGACATTATCTGCCATATCTTCCCTATCCTTTTCCTTAAACTAAAATATTCAGCATAATATGACCTTGTCACACATATGTGTTTACAGAAGCAAGTCTTCTTGGGTTCCATCCTGCATAGGACTGCATACCTTATGTGATCCTAGCAAAATTATCTACATCATCTTTTGAAGTATTTTTTCATGTTTGTTTCCCTATCTACCGAAATATTCAACAAGCCCACGCTGCGACTACTGATGCATGCCAGAAGAAATGAGGTCCCGAATCATGACCTAAAATAACTGCATGTTAACAAGTGCTTCAAAGGTGGTATCAAGTGAATAATTCTCGTCATGCGACAAGTGAATAATCTCCCAATTGATCCAATCAACATGATAATCATATATAAACACATCATATTAACCCTAAATGTGTACCATTTGACCCTTATGACATCAGCAAAGTGGATACTTGGACAAAGAGCATAACTCTCATGGCACATTCCTGTATTTCTGCCAACATTGGCTTCTCTCTGGCTTGTAGCAGCTCATCATACTGCTCATTCTTTGCTAGGGTTATGGTCTTAATAGTGAGTGAGAGAGTGAGTGAATTTGGTTTTACGCCGCTTTTAGCAATATTCCACCAATATCACGGTGGGGGACACCAGAAATGGGCTTCACACATTGTACCCATGTGGGAAATCAAACCTGGGTCTGGCATGATGAGCGAACGCTTTAACCACTAGGCTACCCCACTGCCCCTATGGTCTTATTAAGTAGGGTACACTGTTAAATGAAGTTACCAGTACCAACACTGTTGTGGACCGGTTTGATAGAACTAACTTGCATATACATATGCAATAATAGTTATTTCTTAGGCAAATACTTATAAAAATATTTGACAAATTTTTTTTCCTTAAAACATTTGGTCTAGGATTCAGCATCATTGGATTAAAATGTATATTTATAAATTTCACCTATTAATAAGTACTGCTACTGCAATGGCGGCCATATTGAAATTTGCATTTGTACCTCTTTAATAACTTCGAGAAGTACGAGAAGTTTCACCTTGGTCCAGTGATGTATGAGAAGATGCTTACAGATGGAAACACAGACAGCACACATCTACCAGGACAACCATGACACTACTTTCACTCAGGTGAGATGAAACCTTGTGTGCTGGAAGTGAAGTTCTCTAAGACTCCTAATGTGCGAGAAAAGTAGGATGACCTAATGAATACCCCAGAACCAAATCCCTGACGGGAAACACCCTGGAACAACCTGCCAGTACAGATCACTACCAGAGAGCTTGCAACAGGATCGGCTCATATCTATGGCAGGCTGATGTTGTCCAAATATGAAGCTGCTGATCCAAGATCAGAGACCTTCTGAAAACAATGGGGGAACTACAACAAGCTGCCAAATAAAACAAAACCAATGTTCCTTGATTCAGTCTGCAACAAGTCTGGCATAATATGGACCTCCCCTTCAAATAGCCACGTGAAGACGTCACACAGACCCTCTCCTTCAGTCGACCACCTGGTTGCTTGCAGGGTGGCCTACAGGTGGTGCTACCACTAACAGTTAAAAACACAACACTCCCTTAAGTACATTATTCAGATTTGGAGTCAAAATGTCAGAAACAAGCTTACAGTAACAACATAAACTCTAAGGCTATTGTAACTCTTAGTACTAAGGTCCTCCTGTGAAAGCACACCCTGAGCATTGCCTTAAGAATACATTACCTCTAGCATAGTAAAGTGTTTATTTGGACAACCAATTTCAACAACCTATTTGAAGCTCAAATATGTAAGGCAAGTTTTGTGAAAAGGTACCATGAGTCAGATGTAAGAAACCTTTAAAAACAAGCCCTTTTCATTCATTTGTATGCTTGCAATACAATTTGAAACCTTTTGAAAATGTATATAGCATTACATAAATCCTTCTCTTATTCACAAACCACACCCTACCTATTACAAATGACAACAAAACACTGATAATTGAAATCTCTTTTCATAACTAAGCACCTATCGCGATGTGAACCATGGTCTCTTTCACAAACCACTCCCTCGTCCATTACAAGTGTCAACAGACTTTTTTCATTATTGTAATTGAATTCTCTTGTTACAACCTTGCACAGGGTGGTGTTGTGAGCAATGGCGGAATACCTTGTCTCGACAAGCCCACTATGACAAACAATAATCAATATTTGTATATCAGAAGCTGTCCTAGAAACACTGTAATATTTTCCTCAATACAGCTTGTATGGTACATTTTTTGCAGCATCATCAGTATTCTTATGCATATACAATGCACATTGCCATTGAAAAATTGTGCAAACATCACTGAACATATTATATTCAATGTTTCTGTATGTTTTGTCATACATATATTGCACATTATTTATTGGCAGAGAGACATACTGTTCATTGTTCGTGGTTCTTTCAATAAGCATATCGTGTGTATCACCTTGCCCATACAAAGTATTTATTGCTGGTTGAATGTGTTAGCCCGGACACAATACACAGCAAACAATCGTTTATTTACTTCGTATATAACCAATATAGAACTCTGAAATTAAATTTGAACAAACATAGTAACATATGTGGAAGATATAAAAAGGAAAATGTTGATAGATTCATTTTGTCCATATTTGGAAGAAGTCAAGTTATTGTGTTCTTGTAACAGTGGAAAGAGAGGTAGGGTGTTTCACTGGTTCAATATGGTAGCAATCAAAAAGCATCTTGTTCCTGGAGCAACCTTCTGACATGCCTACTGGTGACACCCCAGGGCCACCATTGAGAATTTCCTCTTTTCATGTATCCACATAACCTTTTCTTTGTTTACATATGTTTGACATACATCTTCTTGCTTGCCCCAGACTCAACACATCTGGTTGCTGATGGAGAATCCATTTCCCACAATGCATCTGTGACATTTATGTCGGCCATGATTCAAGGTGTGTAGACATCTTATCAATACCCGCATCATGAGTAATGCACGGCAAAACAAAAATAATATAATGCCATGTTTGCAATCTTTATTATCAATATTGCTGTGTGGTAGAGTTTTCATTTCCTTATATTTTTTATCAGCGGAGGCTCTTTGTGAGAGGACACAAGTCTACTGTGCTGCACATAAATTGAGCAGTAGATAAAGTAGTGAGAGTGATTGTTGTATTACGCTGCTTTTAGGAATATTCCAGCAATATCACGGTGGGGGACACCAGAAATGGGCTTCACACATTGTACCCATGTGGGGAATCAAACCCGGGTCTTCGGCGTGATGAGCAAATGCTTTAACCACAAGGCTACCCAACCACTCCAGTACATAAAATAATGGGGAACCAATAACAGTGCATGTTCTGTTTCAAGTCATATTGTGCAAGAATAAGAGCAAATACTTTTTATTATGAGATTGTATCAGGAATTGCCCAACAAACTTGCCAAGTCAAAGGCAAGCAAAGAACCCATTTTGGTCCCATTTCAAATTTACAAAAACTTTTACATTTCAGCATGAACATTTTGAGACATATTCAATGCATGATGACTATTATTTTCCTCTTACACATGCAAATTGCAGCTCTTTTCATACCTTGTGTTATCATTTTGACAAAAACAAAAACTTACCCTTGAAGAGTGGACAGATCCTCCAAATGGCCACGGGACTAAGGCTGGAGAACTGGCCATATGTGACTTCCATGAAGAACAGGGGGATGCCACACAGAACCAGGAAGATGATGTAGGGGATGAAGAAGGCTCCTGGAACAAACAAAGAATCGAAAACATAAGCTTCCATAGAAAATACAGAGGTGTCGTCATGGATTCGCATGGATTTATTAGATTTTCAGACCAATTGCCTTCGTTGGCAATGTTGGAAAAGTGTTATCAGCACTATCTAAATCGGCAGATTTTTCTTAATCAGAACTGTTCCAAATAATCACATTCCTCAAACTCTCACACTCCTAAACATGGCGACCTTATATCTGTATAATGAAAATCCTACATAGTCAAGCTTTAGATAAAATAATTTTGTTTTCATTTAGCACTGAAGTAATGAAACTCTCCTAACTCAAATTCTGATCTATAAGGCAGATCAGAGTGCTGTTGTAGAAAACAACCTTAGCGCTACAGTTGTATGTCTATGTTACGGTGTGGGAGTTAAGATCACCTTAGAGCTAAGATCAGTTTGAAATCCGGTACTCAGCACTGCTGTAATCAAACCCAAACGGTACAAAATAAGGTGGAGTTATTGCTGACCAGCACTGTAGTATACTAACCTCCTTAAACAAACTGTACTAAATATGGTGGGTTACATTCTTGATAAGCAATAATTACACAAATATTAGGGCAGACATTCCAAAAATGTTTCATCAAGCTATTACCTCAGGAAAGACTGATTTACCTATAGGCCAAATTATTCAGGTGTCTTATACCTATAATGTTCAACAATAGCTTGCAATGCTTTGTCTTCCATACTTTTATTCAATAATGATTCATGGCAACACAGGCTTTGACAACATTTGTCTCTGTCGTGAATATTGATTCCAGCATCCCTGGATGGTGCAACTCCATCTTCCAATAATGCGTATATACTAGTCTCTCACACAGTCCCTGAACCACATTAGATGCCATTCAGCCCATCCCTTACTGTAATGCTATAGCACTACATGAAGCAAGTCTAGATTTTCTATAGTTTTGGGTCAAGACATACATTGATCTTCTCCATATTTCTCCAATACTAATTATAACCTGTGGTTGAAACCTTCCTCTCATAAATTCTTAATTATTTTTCCTGCTATTTAGAAACAAAATTCTATTTCCAAAATGCTCAAATCTAAGGAATCTTTTAATTCCAAGAATGCCAGGGCTAATTGGCATCTATCTATCACTATTATTGCCCATGTTTTTACGCAGTCTTTGCTTTCAGAATTAGTTCTCGCAGAAGAGCAACCAAGAAACATCTGCTGCCTCATTAAACATCAGTCATCGGTCAGTGGAGTCTTTGACAATTTGCGAACCTCCAAACAATAAACACATAGTATTTGACATTTGTGTCAGGCCATGCGATAACAGTGTTTGATTTCTCACATTACTAACACATGACTAATCAGGTTTACTCATAACAGTCATTTGTCCTTTAAACATAGATGTTTCCTGAATATCGGATACCGATTTGATCAAATTAAAGGAATAATGGATCATGAACCACAAGGTTTAATATTCTACCCCATTTCCAAATATTGTTGTCATGACCTTAAAAAACAAAGCAGCGATAAGAATCGTGTAGAACCTATTTTCAAAGTGGACAGGTACGAGTCTGCAACAAGCCATTTTTTACCACCCAGTTCCAGTTCGCCTATCTTGTGTGAACTCATCACCTGGCGGGAGAGCATGTTCATGTCACACAGTTCAAGATTAACGGACTTATGTAAATAACACAGATAAATCTAGTCTGTTTACATTTCATCAGCATTATGACCATCTAACCACTTCAAAGATTTATGTTAATGTTTCTTCAGAGAGGGACGGAACAAATTCCCGTCAACATGTTCGTACATTTACATGTCAAGTATGGCAAACACTTAACTAGTCTGTCTCAGTCCCTTAGTCTGTCATACAGACCCTGAAGCAAATATATCCAAGAAATCCCACGCATGTCTACAAAATGTGGCAAGTCTAGATTTCCACAGCTTCAGGGTCTTTGAAAATGAGGAAAGTTTCAGGGCTCCTTTTCATTATATTTTATTTTTTTCACTATGAGCTTTTTTTCTCTGTAAAATATGTTCTTTTCAGAGACTAGTTGTTAGTCTAACAGTCCCTGAACCACATTATTTTCCCTACTACCTACCCCTCCCTGCAATGTAAAAGCCCTAAATGAAGCAATCTTGATTTCCTCATGTTCAGGATCTCCCATCTCACTGGGGCTCCTTTCAATTTAAATGGCAGGGATAGAAATACTTTTTTTTCTAAGTGTGCCTTAGGGCACCAGACAAATATTTTAGGTGTGCCTTTCAGGAATCAAGTATGCCCACATGTTTTTAGAATAAATGACAATGATGATGATCATTTGAATTTATTGTTAAATAAAGAAATGGGTTTATGAGCATTCAAATACGTATGGTATTATTCAGTTTGGAAAAAAAATAATTGTTTGGGGGATTAAATAAATAAATGTGAGTTATGTCTCTAAAAAATTAGGCATGTCAAAAGGGCACCGAGAGCATTTTTCAGCCGTGTCATTTCAACATTTACTGTGCCATGGCACACTAATATATGGGGTATTTCGAACCCTGAATGGGTATATTTGTCATCAAAATTATATATTCAGACACTAAGCACTAGTAGCATTTATCAAAAGGTAAAACATTTCCATCTTGATTTATGTAACTTTATTTATGCATTCATAAAACGTGGCCTCAACTGTATGGATTCAACTGTATGCAAAGTCCTAAGAATGGACTGGCCCATGATTTATAACAGTGAAATATTTGGGAAGATCTAAGAATGGGCTGACCCTCACATACAACAAGCATACAATCTCTTTTCAAAAGCTTTCAAAACCTTTAAAATTCATTCACAATTTTTTTTTATTACAGAATTATCTTGGGTGTGCAGTATGATCATCCACTGAATAAACTTCCTCTAAGATGACAATTCTTAAACAGCCCCCGACAAGAACCTTCTATATACACAATATGACGCAAACAGCACAAAGACCTGCTTTCAGTTGAAAAAGATTGGTGTACTATTTCAAATACTGTATACACTCATGTTAAGTAGTTTTTACACTAGACTTCCACAAGATTCTAAGGAAATAATTATTAGTTTAAATCGAAATTCCAAGGTTATCTAAATAGCAAGTACAAACAGTGCCTATAAAAGACACATGTTCTGCACAGTCTGCATATCTAGACTTGTCTGTTTTAGAATAGAATTATCCTAAGTCCATAAGCCTGTCTCACAGTCCCTGAACCACATTATATTCCCTACTGCCTCGCCCTCCCTGCAATGCAAAAGCCCTAAATGAAGCTGCTCTATATTTCCTCAGGTTCGAAATCTTGCACCTCACTCTGGCTCCTTTTCAGTTTAAAAGGAATTGTCTGTTTCTATGGAAATTATATATATTTAGAGACTAAGCGTTAGTCTATAAGTCTATCTATCATCATTTGGTTCAGCCATGAGGAAGGTAGGCTATCTTCACGCACATGATACGGAACCTGATATTGCTTCACCAAGATGTTGGGAGAACACACAACTTTCATTGGAACATGTCAAAAATGGGGGCCGATACGTTTGGGTTACATGCAATCTGTTTTAAGGTAGAAAAGAACTGAGGTGCTGAACTTCCTTTTGATTAAACAATTAACAAATAAAAGAGAAGGGTCCCCATACCCAGACTGGACAAAACAAGAAAGGAAAGGACACATTTCACGCTTTCCTTCTTTGTACTGACTGACTGACTGACTGTTTAGTTTTACGCCGCTTTTAGCAATATTCCAGCAATATCACGGCGGAGGACACCAGAAATGGGCTTCACACATTGTACCCATGTGGGGAAACGAACCCGGGTCTTCGGCGTGACGAGCCAACGCTTTAACCACTAGGCTACCCCACCGCCCCTCTCCTTCTTTGTAATACAGACCGAAATGAAATATGAAGACATGATATTTAGCTTCCTTACAAAGTAACTTGATAACCAAGAAAAAAATTGAATCTGCCTCATATCAAAACATTTAAAAATCCTTTTGCATTAAAAGTCTCAACAAGCATGTACCGTAACGGAAAGCAATGTTCAGACACATGACTAGGGGAGGGTCACCTCGACACAAGTGGAAAATCTCCAGACACAATTCTAGCTCTAACTGACCAGTTGCTGGGTTTCAAGCTGTTCCAGATCTTACAAATGATCAAATACAAGTAATCCATATTATTGTTGTAGCAAAGTCGGAGGTTTAAAAGCCCACTCTCCCACTGCTGACTTAGTACCTGGTTATTTCTATCACTGTTAATCAATACTAGCGAAATATCGTCATCATCCTCCGTATCGACTGCAACGTCTGTATGCTAGTGTGTGGGTGGGTGCGTCTGTTGGTCAGGTTCATGCTAGATCGTGGCTAGACAATCTAGCAGAGCTCCACATAAGATTTAGCTCATGTGGGTACTGTACCCACTGTATTTTTTTGGAGTGGGTATTATGAATGTTGAGTGGGTATTTCATTTTCCGTTACCCACTGCTTTCAAATATGTGCGTATTTCAGTCATTTTACTCACCTAAGTATTATGTCATTGAGTAAGTTTACTAAGCGGGTATGTTCTGCCTTATGTCATACCTAATCAAAACCAACTTAAATATAATGGAAATGATTTCATAAAAAATCACTCATCCTATACTGACAGTACAACACTTGTCCTATACTAACAGTACAACTTGATAGCAATCGATGTCTTTTTCATTACGAAAGCGATTTTTATAAACATATTCTGAACGCATTTGTTTTAAACTTTTTGCGTAACTAACATTTAAAATGCATCATTGGTACGCAACAATTATTTTTCAATGCGTAGTTGGAAATTTTATATGCGTATTTTACCTGGATACGCAGCTTATCTGGGCCTCTGAATCTAGTATCGACTGCAACGTCTGTATGCTAGTGTGTGGGTGGGTGCGTCTTTTGGTCAGGTTCATGCTAGATGGTGGCTAGACAATTTAGTGATCAATATTGTGTGTAAACTGAGTCACAGAGTCTGACTACCATATTGTCGAGTCTGACTACCATATTGTCGTCAACAACAGACCCACACCAACTCAAGTACATTCCTGTTCTCAATGAGACATCTGTTATTGCTGATATGGCTAACACACATTAAATAACACTACATCCTGGATTTATATGACAAGGAAGGTTTCTAATGTCACAGTAACTTCCTTTCAAGCTTTTGTGAATGTTTAATTGACTGGAGTTAAATGGGATGGAATTAATTCACTATGCCACTAAGTATAGTCCCAATTTGGCCATACTGTCACCAGTCCGTTCGTTCGTTTCACGCCTCTATCCTTTTAGTTATAAGGGTTCCAATGTTTGTCGTAAAATGCTTCTAAGTACATGTCTATGGTTACTGACTGACTGAGTTTGGTTTTACGCCACTTTTAGCAATATTCCAGCTACATCCGGGGGGGAACACCAGAAATGGGCTTCACACATTGTACCCATGTGGGGATTCGAACCCGGGTCTTCGGCCCGACGAGCCAACGCTTTAACCACTAGGCTACCCCACCGCCCCATCAACAGGATCATGTAACTAGTAGTCTCTTCTACAACATTGTTGGGCTGGATTGTTACATGGTGCTTTTTCATACCTAATATACTCGAACTTTGAAACATTGCTCTTTTAAAAATAATTATGTGTTCACACTCAAAATGACCTCTCTTCCTTATAATTTAGACATGTTATGGCAATAAATTCAAATATTAAAGTAAATAGACATTATCTGCTGTGATTTGCTAATAAAACCCTCTCCTTGCCTTACAACACCTTTTGAAACGTCTGCCTAAACCATCTTGCTATGACAATAAAATCATGACAGGCAGTTTCTAATCCTTTTGTCAGAAGCTAAACTATTAGCAGAACCATCTTTGATCTTCAATTCTTTAGTGACATGTTAAATATACAATGAACAATCCACCCTTGAATGCACCCGAACCTCATTCCAAAATCCTGTCAACAAAGCCCGGGTTTCTAATATCAGTTGACCCTTGACAGTTTTCGGAGCTCTTCTGGCTTAAACTATCCTGTCTTGGCTTACACGCTGAGATAAACCTATCCCTAAAACATGCATCAGAAGGGACACAGGATAGCCTATCTCGCAGATATTATCTAGCAGGGTTCGCATCCCTTTCCAGCTACTCAAGAACACCAATGGTGGAAAGACACGTCTCCCGTTTCAAGAGAACAGGAAGAATGGCCACTCAACTGAATGTTTCTTTGAAAATCTTATCTCAGGACTTGACCTTGTTAAGTCTTAAACAAACAACAACACTCGAACATGCTGATTTATGGATTGATAAAGTGCATGCTTTCAAGGTTAATCGGTGAGGACTCCTGCTGCGAAGGGACTAACCCCAAAAGTCTAAGATCTAAAATTGGGCTGATCCATGGTGTGTAATTGCAAAGTGTGGGAAATGTAAGAATGGATTCACCCATATGCAAAGTTTGGGAGATCTACGAATGGATTCATCCATATGCAAAGTTTGGGAGATCTACCAATGGATTCACCTGTATGCAAAGTCCTAAGAATGGACTGGCCCAAGATTTATAACAGTGAAATGTTTGGAAAGATCTAAGAATAGGCTGACCTTCACATACAACAAGCATACAATCTCTTTTCAAAAGCTTTCAAAACCTTTAAAATTCATTCACATTTTTTTTTTATTACAGAAAAGGGTCCTGAAGGATAATGAATTGGAGCCAAAGATTGAACATCCTCAAACAGGTTCAGTTACAAAAGGTTTATACAACATTAAATGTTGTAATATTTTGTAAGATGTATATCTAAAAATAACAATCTTAAAATATGTGAATTCAACAAACCTCCACCACTCTTGCAGCAAAGTTTATGAAAACTCCAAATAGTGCAAGGTCCAACATGGAAATATTGCACGAGAGACCCTATGATTTTCTGCAAAATTATCAAAAGAACCCTCAGAACATTTAAGTCAACCTACCTCCACCACTTTTGTAGCAAAGATAAGGAAATCTCCAGATATTGCCGAGTCCGACTGCATACCCGATGCAGGTAAGGATGAAGTCCAACTTGCCGCTCCATCCTTCACGCCCTTGGTTGTCGAGGTTACGCTTCATCTTCTCAACACTGTTTGTACTACCAGTCGAACTGGAACTGTCCATACCATCGAAATCTCCCTGGAAAATATATTTGAATATATTTGGGTTTGGAAAATTACCAGAATATAATAGTATGCAATGTGAATGTCAATTACATCTGTTACAAGCTGTTGCCAAACATGCAAATTAGTCATTTCTCATTATATTGCTAATATCCTGGTGGAAATGAATACATTTTTTTAAAAAAAGAGATAAACATTATATGAGCGTTCGTAGCACAACAGTCCTGTGGAATGTAACAATCAACTTGCATACTGGTATTGTTGGTATCTCACATTAAAATGCACTATTCATCAACTAATAGAGGTAGTAGAATTTTTCATATTGTTACGAACGAAACTAGTGGACAAACTATTCTGTAGTATAATAATGATGTACGCATTCAGTCCAGAACTACGGCTTTCAATTATCATTTTGGTTTTAGTTAATTGGAAATAGAAAACGAGTTGACCATCTCATTAAGTCTGTTATGCCAATTTGACATCAATTTGATCAGAGGACACCCATAAAGAAGGTTGCATGGGTTAACTTTGACTACCAATCTCCAAATGTAGAAATTCCAAACCAAACACAATATTCCTTACTTATTTTGGGGTACAGATGCTATGCGACTCAGAAACAATAATATATATGACTTATCCAGAACAACATAATAGCATCACAATACTTTCTACTTTCGAAACTTGTCATCAAGTTCAATGTAAAAAACAAAAATCAGATATGCTGATTCAGCTGGTTCCAAATATTTTGAAACCAGAATTCTGATTGGCTGATTAGAAAGAACACCTGACTACACCTCTTATCATAAGCAGAGGTACTGTACTGCAGTAAATTTCATGATTTTCATGTGACTGGTGAGTTGCTTGTCTAAAATGTTTGCAGATGTTAACAGCCTACATACCAACTGTGATGACCAACATCCACAGTTAACTGGTTTTTTGAAACATTTATGTAATTACTATCTCTGATTATCTGGGAGCATGTTTGGCTAGAGGTCTACAGCTTCATAGCACACTAATCAGAGTTGCATCCCTTTGCTGTGAAAGGATAGGTTTTCAATCATGTTCAGCCAAGTAAAAGTGGCTTGTCAACATAATATCAGTGCACTCATAGTTTTCCCTTACATGTGAAACATTTATAACTAGCTCCACTTTGGAGCTCCACTCCATTTTTCTTGCACTTTTAGATAACACACTTTCATAAATATGAAAATATTTGTTCTTCCAAGTATCAAAGTAATTCTGTATCACAACTGACTTTCAACTGATCATATGCTTAAAAAACAGATACAAGCGATGTTTGGTAAATGTTGACTGAAAATTGATATATCATTGATTATATCCAAAATGGGTTATTTCAACATCCGTTAATCCTTACCATACAATTAAACTAAAAACCCTGTCAAACAAATGCAGCTGACGCCCAGAAAATTCATCTATGTGATTTAAGTAAATTGATTGTCCATAATTCTGAAAATATCTAATGCTTGAGGATTTTGAAGAGATAACTTGTATTGAACATTTATCCTCAAGTGAGTTAATACATTTTTCAAAAGCCACAACACTGGCATTCTATCGGCCATCAAAATCAGTTTCAGTTTCTAAACAGTCACAACCTGTGCTGTGAGTCTAAAAAGTCAGAGGTAACCAGTTCCTGTGGCAAAGTGATAAGTGATGTCATTGGATTGTGATATCTTGATATCTAATGACATCACAATTATCTGTCAAACATTCTGATGCAATACACTGTATCAATATTCATAGGAAAATATAGCTTGATATCTCTGTGGGAGGTGAGTTTTGGATGACAAGTTAAACATAGATACTTATGGACAATATTCAACAAAGTTAAACATAGATAAAATATGGAAAATATTTACCAAACTGTTCAACAAAGTTAAACATAGACACATATGGAAAAAGGCCAATATTACATATGAATTACAATAACTTGTGAAATACAAGTTCTTTTTATACTATTCATATTTTTAAGCAACATTTTAACCAACGCTTTTTTATTTAATATGTTTTGGCTGGGACACAATAATTTCAGTACTGGAACAGGTGTTGAGTGTCTAATTTCTGCCTGCCATTAGGTGAACTTTTACAACATGGCTTGAAATTATTTGTACTTAATATAAACGGTCATTGGCATGGGCACAATCACAGTGCCATAAAATATGCAGCACATTTAGAAATAACTTTGAACAAAAGTTCCTAGTGGTTATTTTGTATTTTGTAAGACAAGAGAAAAATGTAATATCACAAGCAAATTAAAAAAAGCAGGATGATGATAAATGTTTGAAAATGACTACTGTTACAATATTCTTTGTAACATATTTTCCAGCCTTCAACAAACAATTCCAAAAGGGTTGACTCAAAGGCCTATAAGAAATATTCTGCCATAACTCACATTCCTTTCTAAAAAAGAAAGAAAAAAAAGGAAGAAACTAAGAATGCTCTAAAAAACACAAACAAGCCATTTAATTGCATATAAAAATTTAAAACAAAAACATTCATGTGGGAATATTCAAGAAAGTCACAAAGAACTATATCATTAGTCACGTTTTTTCTACACATAGTTTCAGTAAAACGTTCAGGTAATTTCAGAAAATATTTTCTCATTAGAGAGATCACCTGCATCCACCTACCTTTGAAAACAGTGGATCTCAAATATAATACTGACACAGCAGACAGCCTCGATGCCAACATCAGGAATAAATATTCATGAGAAACTTTTCCATTTCAACGTTTCCATTAACCCTGCGTTGACGGCAAAATCATTCCTAGTTTACAAACCCTGAATTCTAACTAGTCTCAACCAGTTTCCAAAAGCTCCACCTTATATTAAATTCAAACTATCACTGCACAACTCTATCTATGCAAATCACAAAACAGATAAAATCTGGTGCTGGATGAATACTAAATATTCTGATATGCAGGACCATGCCTGACTACTGAGTAATTGCCAAGGTACCCTAGTGACAAGAATATTTACACCAGCATCAGCACTATGTTCAAAAATATGCTGAACAAAAGTCAGGAATCAAGAATATTTTATAAAATTGTGTTCATTCTTCAACATTAAACCACAGACCAAGCATTTTGATGATTATTAACCTATTTTGTTCAGGATTGTCAAGACATATATCCAAATACAAAATGTTTATTATATTTGACCTTTTACACAGAATTACTGATTTCTGTAGATAAAACAATCTATTCTATTCTGTTAAGTTATATATATGTTTAGAATTCTCTCATAAAAGGTGATGGGATGGGTTCAGTGCTTATTTTAATTGTTTCAAAGGTTTACTTTTAGCTTTTTGAATAGCAGCAACATTTTTAGCAAAGATGTGAAACTGTTCCAAAGGTGTTATTTTCAGTGATTTGAAAAAGTAGTCTCATAAAAGGACTAAAAAACTCACCAGATAAAATGTACTATTTAGTATTCATTCTAGATTGTGCCTTTTGCAACCTAAATTTTCAAATGGCATACATAAATATTTATGGGCTATGGTGGTGCATTAATCAAGTCTAAAATAGCCAAAAGCACATTATGTCCAATATAGAATGGCACAACACATCAGAAGTCCACAAGTGCTTCTAGCACTGATTGGGGAAGTGGGGTAGGCTAATGGTTAAAGTGTCCGCTCGTAACGCTGAATACCCAAATTCGATTACCCATATGGGTACATTGTGTGAAGCCTATTTCTGGTGTCCCCTGCTGTGATATTGTTGGAATATTGCCAAATATGGCGTAAAACCATACTCACTCAATCCCTCTAACACATATTGTACAACCCTACATTACTATGTATAGTGGAACATTTATACTCTCTGAATATTCTATGGCAGTCAAGTGAGCTTTGGTACTGCCACATTATATCAAGAATGGAACAGCATACTTCCCTGATTTTCAGCACCCTGGCATAGATTTCATTCAGAACAAAATTTACCCCGACTTTTAATTGTAAAGATAATGATAGAGGTAAATTCTGTCCATTAAACACCATCATCGAATGAAGACCCCAGTGTATGTTAGTTTCCCTGTATATAAAATATTTAAGCCATGGCATTTAATCAAATTCTGAGGTTTATGTGCCCTGTTTATATCTGAGACTCACTGTATTGGATCATATATGTCACTCCCAGCATTTAATCCTCATTTTATTCTGGGGCGGTGGGGTAGCCTAGTGGTTAAAGCGTTGGCTCGTCACACTAAAGACCCGGGTTCGATTCACCACATGGGTACAATATGTGAAGGCCATTTCTGGTGTCCCCTGCCGTGATATTTCTAGAATATTGCTAAAAGCGGTGTAAAACCATACTCACTCACTCATTTTATTCTGTAAGGTGTTTAATCAAAGAAATATGGTAAAACAACTTTGTTCTCCTCATGCTGCATACATTCAGACAGCAATATCATACACTTCTCATCTTACATCCATTCAATGTGAATCCCATTGTTTTCATTGTATACATTTTGGCATGGAAAGTAACAGGTGCTATTCATACTACCACTCAGATTTCAGGTTTCAGATTGTCCGGCTACACCCCTGCAAAAAAGTAAACTCGCTCAAACAGATTAGCTGTACAAGACATATTACGAGCAGCATGGAATGGATCATTTATGTTGGGTAGGGGTGGAAGGGGAGTGGGCGGGGAAGAGGGACTGGAACTAGGAGTGCCCATGTGGCCCCAATAAACCTATTGTATTTTTGTCTTCCCCTGGTTGCTACCGCCCTCTGCCCATCCCATACCTGCCACCGAATTTCTTCTTATCTAAATAGCTCGTATTTAGGGGATAAATAATTAGTTTAACTATGGCTAGTTGATTCCTGGAACATTCTATCAACTTTGAACAGTTTCTAAACGTAAACAAAAACGTTTCAACGAGTTTTAACTCACTGTTTCTAAAATGTGATTCTTGGATTAATATATAATATACGGTACACAAAAACCCATACAAAATATACGAAAATGAATTTCAACATTATCTGAAATCAGTAGAGCGTGAGTGAGCACGAATGACCAACTCTGAAACAACCTGATAGTATGAAAATAAAGGCGGGACCCTAATCCAAATATTGTGTACAGGTTTCTTATCTAAGGAGGCTCGTGCCCTCTTTGAGCGCATCGTCGAGCACCAGCTGCTGCGGTTCGCAAACACAGAGCATCGCGCCAAAACGCAGAAACGTCTATGGAAATCATGCCGTATATCATTTCCGTTACATGTGGACGGCTAATATCTACGAATCATGTACGATCTCTTGTATTCATACTAACATAAAAACCACACTGTAACTTACAATAGATGTGTTTTACAGTGAAACTAATGACTTAAAACATTCTAGCGCGAAATCCATCCTTTTTACTGTTACGCGCTCTTATACTTCCTTTGTCTAATAGTGATGAAATTATTAACACGGAACAACTAAAAATGATTTTTTTTCTTACCTTCCTATCGCTTTTCATTTTGATAGATGACTGATTCCAAATTTGGAATTCTCAGGAAACAAGTAAATTGGCAGAGCTGATTGCTTTCGCGTCGTCAAGCCACGAGCGCTTTATCCCAATATGCTTCCAACGATTTAGCGGCAGCGGGGCAGCGGCTGTAGGAACGATCCATTATTTTTCGGGAGGGGGGTTCCGCGTAACCTTGACTCGTGTCTAGGAAAATTTTAGGCTTGTTATTGAGGCCCTTGTTATTGAAATACGCAATTCATTGTAGTTCGGTCAATTAGGCACACAACAATGGCTGGAAAATTTCACATACGAAACACGTGTTGTGTTTAATTCAACGGCTAAATTCTTTCGAGTTGTTATTGTTTCTTTTATCATAAATATTATTATTTCCAATATAATTATTAAGGATTTAAAACAAATAATATAAATAATAATAATCAATATCAGTTTCACTCGGGCCACACGGTATAACGAGGATGTGTTGATTGTTATATGTAAACAAGAGTGACCACATGTAAAGCGGACAAGGAGACTATCTGGGATAGTAGTTGTTTTCAACGCATGTCGTGCAGCGTTCAACAAAAAACTTAGTGTCTGTTTTCGAAGCCTCGGTCTTTGGTTAAAAAAAAATCACGAAAGTCTAAACGCTGTTTTAGAAAGTTACAAATTAAGGAGGTGAAAGTGGTTAAAAAACACAATACCCTGACACCCCCCACCCCGTCTATTGGATCCCATCAGACTCCCACTCCATCCCCACCACTGTCTCTGACCCCCACCCCCTTTCTCTAATTCTCTCATCCATATAGTTGGTAATTTAGGTGATTTCGTCATTCAAGCTCAACAGGACTTCACCACCCGTCGTTTTTTTCAAACTTTGAGGATTTACCTTTACACAGAGACCATGTACCGACATCCGTGATGTGTCCGGGGGGCGTGCCTGGTTGTATAAACCCCACGGCAGGGATGAGAAGAATTACTTTTCGCATATACTCGTTAATTATCTACATGTACTTGTAACAGATATCGTGGATGTCGATGATGACCGACCTCCTGGGATTATTGGTGGCCAAACGGAGAGAGAGAGAGAGAGAGAGAGAGAGAGAGAGAGAGAGAGAGAGAGAGAGAGAGAGAGAGAGAGAGAGAGAGAGAGAGAGAGAGAGAGAGAGAGAGAGAGAGAGAGAGAGAGAGAGAGAGAGAGAGAGAGAGAGAGAGGAGAGACGGGTGGGGTTTGGGGTCACAACCATGGGTATTCTGTACAATTTTCCTCTTAGAATTAGTGATAAGCGTTAGAATCTTTTTCTAAAGATATCGCGAGCCCCTTTCATATTTTATTGATAATACTTTAATCATACTGAAAGGACGGGGATGGTCTTAACATGTGCGGGAGTAGGGATTCTTTCGGAGAATAAAACCCGTGGATGGCAACTTGGAAACATAGATTCTGCATTTCAGGATGTACATAATGGATGTCTTTATATATCTCCAGATAGACCTATATAATCTTCTGGGACGGGGATTCTTTATTTTAGTACAGAATAATTTCTGAAACATGAATTTTAGTCCAGAATAAAATACAGAATTTACAACAAAGACAGTGGCTATGGTAGAATTAACTACATATGTTGAAATACGTAAAAACCAGGACCAAAGACGTGGGCACTCTAAATCATAGATACATGCATGAGGCATGCAGAAAACAGTTTATATGTGTCCATAATATACAGCGACCGGATAGATCCGTGGCGGAATACTCACAAACCGCGGACAAGCAACAACCCGAGACCACAGTAAATGTGTCACTGGCTGGTTTGAGCCGAATAATCACGATCGGCTTGAAACCAGCGGTGGCGTGTTTGTACCGGTGTTTTATGGCTTCTTTTAATGTTTTGTTGATTCACAGTTAGAGGGTGAGTGGGTGTGGTTCGCCGTTATTCAAGCAATATCACAGTACCTTGTAAATAATCAAGTCTGGGCCAATCAATCCAGTGACTGAAAGTGCGAGCAACGCATCACACAGTCGGGGTATGACGACACAATCATCGCTGAGTGAGTTGGATTTTACGCCGCTTTTGGCAATATTTCAGCAAAATCAGGACTCACCAGAAAATGGCTTCACACATTGAAACTACCTATATACCAACCTACATTTAAAAAAAAGAGACAAAAAGACCTCGACCCTCACATTGGTCTATACTTTCTTTTGCTCTTCAGTGTATTTCTCAACAGCGATCTGAATTGCATAATGCACCACGGGTATATGATGTTATTGATGTTATTATAGTTTGTGTGAAATGTGATAGTATAACTTTTACATAACGACATAATTTTACAATGTAAATTTAATCAGAGTCCCGATCCCGATTTACAATGTTAGTTATAGCTTTTACATAATTATCTTTGGACATAATTTTACATCAGAGTCCCGATCCACAAAACGTTCGTACCGCTACATCTATAGAGTTAAGTCAGGTCGTACCGCTACAACCATAGAGTTACGTCAGGTCATACCGCTACAACTATAGAGTTACGTCAGGTCGTAACGTTACAACTATAGAGTTAAGTCAGGTCGTACAGTTACAACTATAGAGTTAAGGGTCGTAACGCTACAACTATAGAGTTACGTCAGGTCGTACCGCTACAACTATAGAGTTACGTCAGGTCGTACCGCTACAATATAGAGTTAGGTCAGGTCGTTACAACCATAGAGTTACGGTCGTACCGCTACAACTATAGAGTTACGTCAGGTCGTACCGCTACAACTATAGAGTTACGTCAGGTCGTACCGCTACAACTATAGAGTTACGTCAGGTCGTACCGCTACAACAATAGAGTTACGTCAGGTCGTAACGTTACAACTATAGAGTTACATCAGGTCGTACCACTACAACTATAGAGTTACGTCAGGTCGTACCGCTACAACTATAGAGTTACGTCAGGTCGTACCGCTACAACTATAGAGTTACGTCAGGTCGTACCGCTACAACTATAGAGTTACGTCAGGTCGTAACGTTACAACTATAGAGTTACGTCAGGTCGTAACGCTACGACTATAGAGTAACGTTACAAACGCTTTGTGGCAGAAAAGTGGCGTAAAACATATTCTCTGGTGAAAAAGACTATACCTATATACATGCTGTGTTTCGTTATTCTAATAGCATATTCTAAGACCTATTCCTATCCACATTACAAGGTTAAAGGCAGGGTCTTAGTGGTGATTTTGTTATACCTGCGTCATAAACGCACATCTTGCCTGTATGAATAATCCTGTGATGGGAATCGAACCCAGATTGAGCGAACGCTTTACTCGCAGGATCAGCATGTGCATCAGAGTGAGCGAGTGAGTTTTGTTTTACGCCGCACTCAGCAATATTCCAGCTATATGGCGGCGGTCTGTAAATAATCGAGTCTGGACCAGACAATCCGGTGATTAACAGCATGCGCATCGATCTGCGCAATTGGGAACCGATGACATGTGCCAACCAACTCAGCGAGCCTGACCACCCGACCTGTTAGTCGCCTCTTACGACAAGCATGGGTTACTGAAGATCAATATTCTAATCCGGACCTTCAATGGCTATGTGCATCAGAGAAACTAATTACTGAACCATCAGCAACAACACCACCCGTTGTGATCCAAGTCACAGAGGAAGACTAACCTTCTTACAACTTTCAACAAGCTGGATGCAGTAGGGTAGCCTATTGATTAAAGCGTTCACTGTTCACGTCTAAGACCCGGGTTCGATTCCCGGGTACTATGTGCGAAGTCTGTTTACGTTGTTACGTGATATTGCTGAATATTGCTAAAGGTGGAGCAAAACCCATCCTCGATAATCTCCAGGGTATATGTTCCGATAAATCTCCACAAGAGACCCTGGACGCACCTATGGCTCGGCCCGATAATTTTATTACCTCCCTTTGCTGGCTCCTCATTCTCACAGTAGCCAATCAGCTAAGCCACTGTTACAACCGAGCTTGCCAGTGTCAACAAAGATAGTGGTCGCAGCTTCGAAGGTTTGTTCGCAGTGCGATTCAGATTTTGGGGGGAAATCATACAGACAAGTTGACAGGACTGAAACTTAACAAAAATATATGCAAGAACTACTTCCACCTCTTTCAGAGTACCTCTGCATCAATTGTGTTGCCAAGTTTAATCGGTTAGATAATTTTTAAGAAGCGAAAGTGAGTTGGTACGCTCAACTTCCCAGCGTAGACACCTGATTGGATAAAAAAGCCAGCCAAGGGAGGTAATAAAATCATGGGTCCGGGCCGTAGATGAATCCAGGGTATAGTGGAGATTTATCGTAACGTATACCCTGGAGATTATCGAGGATGGGTAAAACCTCACTCACTAACTTCAGCAGGAGATCTGCCCTGGATCCCAAAGGGATGGACACAAATTTTGACTTTGAGGAGCCGCACTGTCACGAGACAGCACTACTTCATGACCTCCGACATAACTTTTGTTTTGTCCTTCGAGTGACAGTTGACATGTATTAAGCGTGAACAAGGTAATAATCTTGTCAAATGACATCCTTAGTATTTGTAACCAGCCGGAATCTGTTGTATGAATCTCAAAGTGTGTGGTGTGTAAACGGACAGCTCGTCAGCCAAGACAAATGCCAACATCTTCACATACCGTTACATCACTTTGTGTATATACCGGGTTTAGACTGGTTCCACAACCCATGCCGAACGTAATGAGTGAGTTAGTTTTTCGCCGCTTCCAGCAATGTTCCAGCAATATTTCAGCAATATCACCGCAGGCGACATCAGAAATGGGCTTCACACATTGTTCATATGTGGGGAATCGAACCCTGGCCTTCGGCGTGACGAGCGAACGTTTTAACCACTAAGCCAGACCACCTCCCCTCATGCTGATCGTAAGACGCGATGGGTCTTGGTGACTTGGTTCATTGCATGTCATCGTACCCCGTGGATTTGTGCTCACAATATCGACCTCTGGGTTGTCTGGTGCAGACCACCTACCTACACCTGGAATACTGCTGAGTGCAGCGTTAAACAAACAAACAAACAAACATGCATATATACACAATCCTAGTAGTTATTGCTACACAAGACATTACGTCACAATGCTTGGCTAATATCTCCGCTTGGCTAATATCTACGTTTTACACTC